ATTTTTAGAGTACAAAGTAATGGTATAATAAACATATTTTTTTATAATTAATTTTTATTAAAAATATAAATATTAACTTTGATTAAATCAATTAATCAATTAAAATTATTTTATATTAATAATATTAAAATATATATAATTTTTATAATTTTTTATATAAATTAATTATAAAAAATATAATTAATATAGTCTTATCCGTGCTCCAAACGCACAGATAGAAAAACCCTACCAAATTTGATATTTGAGTGGAAATTGAACAGAAAGAAGATGAAGTGGAGGGGGGCCACAAAGAAGATGAAGTGGCAGCCACATAATTTTTTATCGTCATTAGCAACCAAAATGAAAGCGAACGATGCAATAAAGGCATGAGGTTGAGTCAGTTCCAGCTATATCTGTCGACCATAAACTCCACCACTTTCCTAATACAGCCATTCATGTAATTAAAAACAGAGTTAATTTCGCAAAATTATTAATTGAGTGATTAATGGTGACAATGAGTTAGCTTTTTGATTAGGTGTGAGTATTGGGTACGGTACATTTATTACTTATATATATTTTATCTGTTTTAGTAAGTACCATCCATGAATTACAAAAGAAAATTAGGTAAGTAATATATATAATATATTTATAAGTATCAAATTAAGTATCAAATATGGATTCAAAATTGTTTACTCACCTTATTTAATTGACTTTTTATTTATATTTATATAATTGAAATTTTATTTACTCATTATATTTAAGACATATGGTAACAATAATTTTTAAAAATAAAAATAATAAAATATAAAAATAAAAATAAAAACCTAAAAGCCAAACAAATTACATTTGTAATAATAGTAATTCATAAAAATAATAAACTCTAACTAAACATATAACACACAGTAATAGTAACTCGTACAACACATTTTCTTTTTTTAAACTAAGTACACAAATATATATCTGTAAATTACTAAATATCTATTGGATTAAATATTAAAAATAAATTATTGAGTATTTAAATAAGTACTAAATCTAAAAAATTATACTTAAAAAATTTTAAATTAAATAATAAATATAATTTATATGTGATTTGTATCAAAAAAATATTCACTCCCATATTGGTAATGTTTATTATTTCAATTTGGGACCATATCATTTCTCAATGCGTGGCGGTAAAGTTTCTTCGAAGATCTTTAAAGTGGAAGAAAGGTGGTAACTAGTTGGAGCTTATTTTATTAGGTTAGGCTCATCTCACCATCAATAACTATTAAATTTAAGAAAAATTCATCAAGGGAAGTACTCTTTTAATGTGAATATGTAAATTCACTAGAGAGCTTATTTTGATGAATGTCGGCCAAGTGGAGATGACGCATTCTATCTAGAAAAAAAAAAAAAAAAGGTAGGGAAAAATTAATAACTTACAAGGTTACAACTGTTTTAGACTTTAATAATGATAAAGAAATTTTGAGTTTAAATCACATAACATATAAGTAAAGTGTATGTAAGAAGAATATGATTATCTTTCACTATATAATTTAAAATAAAAACAAATATTTAAGCTACAAATCAATATGGTTATGGAGTAAATCACTAAAATCCATCAAACCAAGATTAGTTGTAAGAATCAACAACTTGTTAGTTTAAATAAAAAGAGTTCGGTTTTTCTTTAAATAAAATTTTGATTTCAAAATTTGTAAACAAAGAAACAAGTGTTAGGACAGCTTCTCTTTTATGGATTCGATATGACTTGACTTCAAATTAATTAAAATTTAATATAACTTTTAGACATTAGGATTAATAAAAGAAAAAAAAAGTAGTTGTAAGAGAAATAGTATAATAAGGACTCCAACTTTTGAAAGTTTGCCAATTGTGGATCTTAACTCTTTTGTTTTTAATTGAGGATCCAACTTATCAATTTTAATATATAAAATTTTGTTAGATGGAATGTTACAAAAGCTTCTTAATCCATTGAAGTGTCCAATTAGGTGCTGATTTGTTAAAAAATCTATTTTGTTATTGATGGCATAAATAAGATTGAAACTTTAGTAGGTTCATTGTGGGTCCTACACCAGTGATAATTTTTCTTCTTTTTTAACTTTTTGGGTTTTTGTCCATGCTATAGATGGCAAAGAAGATTTTTTTTGACAAATTAGCACCTAATGTGGGTCACTTTTAACGGAACTAAATA